TCTATATGGGCGCTGGTTCTAATCCTGGCTGCTCCACTTCCTATCCAGCTCTCTGCTATGGCCTGGGAAAGCAGTAGAAGATGGCCCAAGTCCTTGGACCCCTGCATCCACCTGGGAGACCCAGAAGAAGGTCCTGGCTCCTGGCTTCAAATTGGCTCAGAAACAGCCATTGCAGCCATTTGGAGAGTGAACCAGCAGATGGAAGACCTCTCTCTCTCTGTCTCTCCCTCTCTCTGTCTGTAACTGTGCCTCTCAAATAAATAAATCCTTTAAAAATAAATAAATTAAAAAGCTAAAACTCAGCTGAGGCAAAGGACTGGATTTGGGGAGCAAAGTTCCATTTGGAGAAAGCCCTGGGGAAACCTCAGGATGGCCACAAGCTGCCAGACATCCCCACGGCGAGCAAGCTGAATCCCGGTGGGACAACACTGGGCTGAGGCCACAGTGGGCTGCTCCCGAACCCAAAACATCAGGCGCTCAGAAGCCTGGGGACAGTAGCTCACAGGGAGCCTGAGGCCTATGCCCTGGGGGAGAAACCAACAGACTGAAGCTGGTGTTGAGGGTAAGGATCAAAGGCCTTGACCCCACCCTAGGTACAGGCTGTGGGTACAAGCTGTGCGCAGGAGGATTTAGGAGTTCATGAATGGCAAAGTACACATGCCCTCCAGGTTCATGTTGGGCTTTGCCCCATTTCTCAGCCAAACAGGTGCTGTTACATTTCTCCAGATGCACGGGCACCAGTCCCTGATAGTGTAGGAGACAAACCTGGGAAACAGAATGTCACTGCTGCCATCAGTCAGGGTGAACGCCTGAATCTGAACTCACCTTGCAGCTGCCAGCAGCCCCTGCTAGGGCCATGCCTATCTGAGTCACAGGGGTAGGAAAATGACAAACCCAAGCTTTCTGCCCACACCAGTCTCCTTTCTCTCCACTCACTCTCAGTCTGCCCAAGTCAACACCTGCACACAGGAGGTGACACGGAGCTGCCGGCCCTGGGTGGGGTTCTTGGCAGCCCTGGAGACCAGAACACCTGCTGATTCCAGAACTGCCTGGAATCATCCCTGCAACTGTTAGGGCGACCTCCAAAGAGGCCTACGTCCAGCAGGCTCCCGAACTTGACTTCCACTCTGCAAAGCCCAATAAACGCCTGGATGCAGGGCTCCTTGGGATCCAGGCAGTAGGACTCCCATCCTACAGTTCAAGACAAACACCGGGTATTGGCTGATATCCCAAAACCTGCTGAGCTCTAGCCCAGCTACAGTCCACCGAGGACTCCCTGCCACCCGTGACTCCAAAAGAAACTCACTTTCATCAAGAAAAGTCATGCACCAGCTTTTTTTTTTTTTTTTTTTTGACAGGCAGAGTGGACAGTGAGAGAGAGAGACAGAGAGAAAGGTCTTCCTTTTGCCGTTGGTTCACCCTCCAATGGCAGCCGCGGCCGGCACACCGCACTGATCCAAAGCCAGGAGCCAGGTGCTTCTCCTGGTCTCCCATGGGGTGCAGGGCCCAAGCACTTGGGCCATCCTCCACTGCACTCCTGGGCCACAGCAGAGAGCTGGCTTGGAAGAGGGGCAACCGGGACAGAATCCGGCGCCCCGACTGGGACTAGAACCTGGTGTGCCAGCGCCGCAAGGCGGAGGATTAGCCTAGTGAGCCACAGCACCAGCCAAGCACCAGCTTTTACAAAGGATGACTGGAGGCCACAAAAAGAAAGATGGTGGGAATGACTCCCAGCGGCCACGGGGCTTCATCTGGAGGTGATGAGAGTGTTCTGAAATGAAAGAGCGAGGGTGGCAGCATAGCTTTGGGCATATGGAAAATACCACTAACTGTGCACTTCAGAAGAGTGAATCTTCGCGGGGCAGGTCATTGTGGCACAGCAGGTGTAGTCTGGCTTGGGACACTCACATCCCATTGCAGAGTGCTGGCTTGAATCCCAGCTGTTCAGTGCTTCCAATCCAGCTCCTTGCTCATGCTCCTGACAGGCAGCAGATGATGGCTCAAGTGTTTGGGCCCCTCCATACTCACGTGGGAGACATGGATGGAGTTCCTGGCTCCTCGCTTCAGCCTGGCCCTAGCTGTTGTGGGTATTTGGGGACACAAGGAAGAACTGTGTGTGTGTGTGTGTGTGTGTGTAGAAGGGGGTCACTCTACCTTTCAAATAAAATAAATATTTTTAAAGTAGTATTTTTAAAAAAGAGTGACTGTCATAGCAAATCATATCTCAGTGTTTAAGGGGTAGGGGTCGCTACATAATTGCAAGAAGCAGAGCCTTGATCAGGATTTCCCTCCCAGAAGATGAACACCTCTCCAGCTCCTGCATACAACATTTTCCAATCCTTCCTCCCCACCTCCTCCTGATCCCCCTGGAACTAGCCCGATAAACACACAGCTGTGGGTTTTCCTCACAAAACCCCACAGCCTTGAACACACAACTGCAGGTGTCATATCCTCCAGAAAGCCCCCCTGACACCTTTCTCACTGCCAGGATGAGCGATCCCCACCCCTGGACCCCAGAAAATGTCTCTGGCTTAGCTGTGGCTGACACTGTACATGGAAGATAGCTGTCCGCCTGTCACCTCTCACTAGCACAGCCTTGGCACGCAAGTAGTCACCGGAGATGCGTGCTGAATGACCTGAATTTGTGTTGACAGCATCACCTTGCAAGTTTTCTTTCCACTAGCTTCTTTCCTACTTCACATGCATGATCTAATACTGCAACGTGATCCTGATGCAACCAGCAATTTACTACCTAAACCAACAGGATACTGTAAAATGCCTTCTCTGAGGTTCATTCCCACCAAGAATAAATCAAATGTGTCCTTTGAGGGATTTTACCTTGGTACAGGTCAAGAGGGAGAATGGATCAGACTGACAGAATCTCTACTTCTGGTGGGTAGGAAGACAAAACACACTCTCTCTTCCTTTTCACCAAAAGCCTTTAAACATCACAAAGCCTTGAAGCAGCATCACTAAGTCTGTAAAAACTATTTTAGAACCAGAAATCCTTTCCTCTTCATGACTGTGCAAATATTTTCTTAGAACATTAGGGAGGGGCCAGCACTGTGGCATAGCAAGTTAAGCCACCATCTATAGCACCAGCATCCTACATGGGCTCTGGTTCAAGTCCCAGTTACTCCACTTCCGATCCAGCTCTCTGCTAATGCACCTGGGAAAGCAGCAGAAGATGGTCCAAGTCCTTGGGCCCTTGCATCCATGTAGAAGACCCAGAAGAAGCTCCTACCTCTTTGCCACTGTATTTGGGGAATGAACCAGTGGATGGAAGACCTCTCTCTCTCTCTCTCTCTCTCTGACTCTCCCTCTCTCCCTATAACTCTACCTTTCAAAATAAATTAAATAAGTCTTAAAAAAATTAATCAGGGAACTACATAGAGCTATATTACCAAGACATGCTGTATATTGAGTTCAGATCACAGAGGAGCTACCAAAATTAGGAGGGCTTTGCCACTCCTTGTATTTGACCAACACATGCCCAGAAATCTGACCAGCAAAGCCCCTGAGGTCCAGAACGACACAGAAACAGCTATTCCCCCTCATTCAGCTCACACCCATGCAAGGCAAGACCATGCCTCCAACAGGCTCAGCACGTGCCCAGCCATGGGCCCCAGCAGGTGGTTTGCTCAGAGCTGGTGTATGCCCCACCTGTGGTTACAGGAACATGAAGTTAGGACACCATCCCTCAAGTGTCCCTGCTCAGTGTTCATTATTGCAAATGTCCAAATACACAGAAGAGAAAAATGGTTTTTGTTTTTGTTTTTTTGACAGGCAGAGTGGACAGTGAGAGAGAGAGACAGAGAGAAAGGTCTTCCTTTTGCCATTGGTTCATCCTCCAATGGCCGCCGCAGCCGGCGCGCTGTGGCCAGCACACCGCACTGATCCAAAGGCAGGAGCCAGGTACTTATCCTGGTCTCCCATGGGGTGCAGGGCCCAAGCACGTGGGCCATCCTCCACTGCACTCCTGGGCCACAGCAGAGAGCTGGCCTGGAAGAGGGGCAACCGGGACAGAATCTGGCGCCCCGACCAGGACTAGAACCCGGTGTGCCGGCACCGCAAGGCAGAGGATTAGCCTAGTGAGCCGCGGCACCAGCTGAAAAATGGTATTAAAATGAACTCCCACAGACCAACCATCCAAGATTCAATAGTTGTTCACCTTTTACTGTTGAAGTATCCCACAGAGACAGGCATTAGGCCTGCTGCTTGGGATGTCCACTTCCCATATTGGAAGGCCTTGATTTGAGCCCCAGCTCCATTCATGATTCCAGCTTCCTGCTACTGTGCCTGTGCACCTTGGGAGGCAGCAGGTGACAGCTAAAGTAACTGGGTTCCTGTCCCCCAAATCAGAGACATGGATGGAGTTCCTGGCTCCTGGCTCCTGGCTCCTGGCTCCTGGCTCCTGGCTCCTGGCTCCTGGCTCCTGGCTTTGGCCTTGCCCAGCCACTGCAAGCATCTGAGGAGTGAACCAGTGAATGGGATCTCTCTCCCTCTCTCTCCATGCTTGAATAAATAAAATAAAAATTTTAAATGAGTCTTGAAAAGACTTTTTAATTTTTTTTACATTTATTTATTTTGAAAGGCAGAGTTACAGAGAGAGAGGAGAACACACAGACAGACCTTTCATCTGGGGGTTTACTCCCCAAATAGCTGCAATGGCCAGAGCTGGGCCAGGCCAAAGCCAGGAGCCAGGAGCTTCATCCAGGTCTCCCATATGGGTGGCAGGAGCACAAACGCTTGAGCCATCTCCTGCTGCTTTTCCCAGGTGCATTAGCAGGGAGCTGGATCAGAAGCAGAGCAGACAAGACTGGAACCACACTCCTATACGGATGCAGGAGTCCCAAGCAGTAGCTTAACCTGCTGCACCGCGATGCTGGCCCCTAGATTTCCTTATAGGAGAGTCCCTCCTTAAACCACTGCTTGTCCAGGCCCTGCCTGTCCCCCCACCCACTGGGATACTGTCCTGCCGGCAGCCCCCTCTTGAGTACCTGTGCAGAAGGTGCCGTCATTGGGAATGAATGTCTTGTTGTTGTTTGTGGCTCGATAGCCTCCCAGGCAAACGCAGTAGAAAGCACCAGGGGTGTTGTGGCAAGATGTGTGGTTCCCGCAGACCACAGTGGCTCCAAACTGACACTCATCTTTGTCTGTGGGCACAAAGAGACTGAATTCACACCAGGCCCTACAAGCCGCCTGCTCTCCTCCCCACCCCCACCCCAGGGCCCCAGGCTCAGGAACCCATGCCCTGGGGGGACAGCGCCAAGGTTCACTCCCCCTGCACAGTTCCCTGCACTGCACTTCCCCAGCCAGAAGACACGGGCTCTTCATGGTTATGCACCAGTTGTCTATGAAGCCTCAAGGGAAACACAGCATCCCAATCTGGCAACCCATGCAACTGGGGGTGGGCAGTGATGCCTACCATGCCAGCATCCATTTGGCCACTGGTTCGTGTGCCCACGTGCTGGCTGCTCCACTTCCAAATCCAGCTCCCTGCTAATGACCTGGGAAAGCAGCAGAAAAAGCTCAAGTGTTTGAGCCTCTGCCACCCCTGTGGGAGACCCGGATGACATTCTTGGCTTCTGGCTTCAGCCTGGCTATCTGGGGAGCGAAGCAGCAGATGGAAAATCTCTTTCTCTACCTTTCCCTCTCTCTCTGTAACTCTGCTTTCAAATAAATAAGGTTTTTTTTTTTAATCTACGAATGAATTATTACCAAAAAAAAATTTGTTTTTAATCTTGTCCCAGGTCTGGGGAAACAAACCCAGCTGAATCCCACTTTTCCATCTCAGCAGTTCTCCTGGCTTTTCCTGAAAGCCAGAGTCGGAAGATGTTGCATCCAGTGATTAACTGGCAAAATTGTTAGTTCTGAGGTCCTGGGAAACACAATGGAATTAGCGCTGAGGTCTCATCCGGGAGCGAGGCTAATATTGCGGCAGGAATAGCTCATGCTAATGGTCAGTGACCCATGAGTAATGTCCGCCACCCAGGGGGAGGCGGGGCTGGAACACAAAGGCGAGGGAGCCCACAGTCCACAGTGGTCTTTTTGTTTTTGTTTGTTTGTTTGCTTGCTTGCTTTGAGAGGCAAAGAGGGAGAGAGAGACAGACACAGACAAATGGATAGAGCTCACATCTGCCTGTTCATTCCCCCAAATGCCTAAATGGCCTCAGGACTGGGCCTGGCCAAAGCCAGCAGCCAGGTCTCCCCCGTGGGTGGCAGGAACCCAGTTACTTGAGCCATCTGCACAGCCTTCCAGGCCAGAAGCTGGGGCCAGGAGTGGAGGCAGGGATGAAGCCCAGGCACTCACAGGGCGGGCGCAAGGGCTAACCACGAGACCGAACGCCTGCTCCCTTGATGCTTTTAATCACACAATTTGAAACTGAAAGAGTGAAATGAAAGTCAGTCTCTCATTTCTGTCCTCTGGCGCAGGGGTCAGCAAATGTTTCCTCAGGTCTCCACTGTGACCACTCACCCCAGGGTACACTAATAGAACTACGTATAAGGGGCTGGTGCCACGGCTCACTTGGTTAATCCTCCACGTGAGGCGCTGGCAACCCATGTGGGCACCGGGCTCTAGTCCTGGTTGCTCCTCTTCCAGTCCAGCCCTCTGCTGTGGCCCGGGAGGGCAGTGGAGGATGGCCCAAGTGCTTGGGTGCCTGCACCCCATGGGAGACCAGGGAGAAGCACCTGGCTCCCAGCTTCGGATCAGCGCAGCACTGGCCATAGCGGCCATTTGGGGAGTGAACCAACGGAAGGAAGACCTTTCTCTCTGTCTCTCTCTCTCACTGTGTAACTCTACCTGTCAAATAAAAAATAAATAAATAAAACTACGTGTAAACACAGAGAGCAGGTCAGATCAAATTTGGCTCATGGGCCATAGTTTGCTGACTCTGCTCTCACCTTTAACTTCAGAGAAAACTCCCGGAACCAATTTCTTGTGACTTAAATTTTTTTTAATTTTATTTATTTATTTATTTATTTATTGACAGGGAAAGTGGACAGTGAGAGAGAGACAGAGAGAAAGGTCTTCCTTTGCCGTTGGTTCACCCTCCAAATGGCCGCCGCGGCCGGCGCGCTGCAGCTGGCGCACCGCGCTGATCCGATGGCAGGAGCCAGGTGCTTCTCCTGGTCTCCCATGGGGTGCAGGGCCCAAGCACTTGGGCCATCCTCCACTGCCTTCCCTGGCCACAGCAGAGAGCTGGCCTGGAAGAGGGGCAACCAGGACAGAATCCGGCGCCCCGACCGGGACTAGAACCCGGTGTGCTGGTGCCACAAGGTGGAGGATTAGCCTAGTGAGCCGCGGCGCCAGCCGTGACTTAAATTTTTAAAAATTTATTTGAAAAGTAGACAGAGAAACAGAAACAGCAATCTTCCACCTGCTGGTTCACTTTCCAAATGCTGGCACAGCCAGGGCTGGGCCAGGCTGAAGCCAGGAACACAGAACTCAATTCAGATCTCCCATGTGGGTGGCAGGGGCTCAAGTAGTTGGATTCCTACCACCCACATGGGAGACCCAGAAGGAGTTCCTAACTCTTGACTTCAGCCTGGCCCAGCCATGGCTCCTGTATATGTCTGAGGAGTGAACAGCAGATGGAGGATATCTCTGTGACTCTGTTTCTATCTCTACAAGTACTTGAGCCATTACCTGCTGCCTCCCAGGGTGCACATTAGCAGGAAGCTAGAAGCAGAAGCAGAACCACGACTGGAACCCAGGCACTCGGTTATGGGATGCAGACATCCCAAGTAGTGTCTTTTTTTTTTTTTTTAAGATTTATTTATTTTATTTGAAAGGCGAAGTTACAGAGAGGCAGAAGCAGAAAGAGAGAGAGAGAGAGAGATTTCTTTCATCTGCTGGTTCACTCACCAAATGGCCACAACAGCTGGAGCTGTGCCGATCTGAAACTAGGAGCTTCTTCCAGGTCTCCCACACAGGCGCAGGGGCCCATCTACTACTGCTTTCCCAGGCCATAGCAGAGAGCTGGATAGGAAGTGGAGCAGCCTGGACTTGAATCAACACCCATATGGGATGACGGGTCTGTAGACAGCAGCTTTACCTGCTACACTGCAGCACCGGACCCCCAAGTGCTGTCTGATCACTGAGACAAACACATGTGTGTTTGTAAGAAATGTGACCCATTTCCTATGCATCTCTTAGTGCTGATCTAGTCAGTTAGGTTGTTTTTTTAATGGGGGGAGGAGTTAGGAGATTCATCCACTTATGCTTGGTTTTTCCAAGTGTTTTATTCCAATATTGGTTCCCTCAAATTAGTTTGATGGCCTCTTACAATTGCACTCAATTCCTACTAACTTAAAAAGACCTCCCAGGGGTGGCACTGTGGCACAGAGGGTTAAGTCGCTGCCTGCAACACCAGCATGCCATATGGGTGATGATTCAAGTCCCAGCTGCTCCTCTCCTGATCCAGCTCCCTGCTAATGTGCTTGGGAAAGCAGTGGAAGATGGCTGAAATATTTGGGCCCCTGCACTCATGTGGGAGACCAGGATAAGAGTTCCGGAGTTCCTAGTTCTGACTAGGACCTCTCCAAGCCTGGGCTGTGGCCATTTGGGGAGTGAACTAGAGGATGGAAGATCTCTTTCTGTGTCTCTCTCCCTCTCTCTCTCTGCCTTTCAAATAAATAAATAAGTATTTAAAAAAGAGACACACAAAGAGTATAAGTCCAGCCTGCAGAATGGGCAATGGTAGGTGACTGAGTATACTTGTATCTGCAAAGTGGAATATGGCTTCTTGAACCCAAGACTGAACTGTTATTTTTCTTCAATGAGAAAAAACTCACAAAGAGCTCACAATGAAGCTGTATACATGGTGTATCCACAACTGCAGGGCAAAATTATCAGTCTGTTCCCTGTATGTAACAAGGTTGCTGGGAGTAAACTGGGAGTTTACTGTAACATTTACTTATGAAATTGTGAAACCCTGTCTCTCTCTAAGTTGGACTTGAACCTGAACACTGTCTGACTGGCATGGCATGGCAGATGTAAAGAGGTAGAAAATCATCTTGGAGGCTTCCAGCCTAAAATTCTTTGTGTTCCTTCAAGTCATCTAAATTCCCATAGGGTCACAACTACAAAAAGTTTAGAGGATGCATTCTGGAAGACATAAGACCCAAAGCAATTTAATTATTTTATCAATTAACCAAAAAGTCCAATAGAACACTGGGTTTTGCTTTCCCTATGATACCAATACAAATAGTGTTAAATCAAAATAAACAGATAAAGAAGAATTACAATACTCATTTAAGTTAAACTCAATATTGAAAACAGATTTTAAATTCATATTAGGTCAGAGTTTGCAGATATCCAAGGTCAATGACCTCTAACAAGAAGGAATCTCCAAAGAAAGGACCTATCCAAACACTAAAACAAAGACTTACTGTAAACAACAAAACTGCTTGTAATAAAAACATGTGAGCAAACCATCAGTTTTCCCCATGGAAAGCAACTCTTCAACACTAGGGAATCTTGTTTCTTGATTCAGAGTTTGGATTTAGCCCAGGGTTCACACTCACCTACACACTGCATCCTCCCGTTGCCCACAAATCCATAGTTGCAAATACAGATCTTCTTCCCATCTCTCTGCTGGCATGTAGCGTGTTCATGGCAGGTAGCACAAATATCTAAGTCTGAATCATAAACTGTATATTTCAGAAAAAGAAAAATTCAAGATGAGATACGTTTAGTTAGCAGACATTTTCAATGGAAAACCACCAAACTTTGAAGACTAAAATAAGATATGACACATCCTATCTCATCCTGAAAAACCTTCCATGGCCACTCCCTGCCCAGAAAAGCAAGTGCAAATTCCTTTACGTGGTGATCAATGCTCTTTTTTAATTTTATTTTTATTTATTTGAAAGAGATACAGAGAGAGGGAGACAGAGATCTATCAGCTGGTTCACTCCCCTGATGGCCACAATGGCCAGGGACCTGGAGCTTCTTATAGGTCTCCCACAGTGTGCGTGGGCTCAAGCACTTTGCCATCCTCCACTGCTTTCCCAGGCACATTGGCAGAGAGCTGGATTGGAACTGGAGCAGCCAGGTCTTGAACCAGTGCTGCAGATGGCGGCCTAATCTGCTAAGTAATAACACCAGCCCACGGTGATCAATGCTCTAACAGTCTGATTCCAGATGAACTCTTCTAGACTCTTCCCAAATGCCAACCACACAAAGTACCCTTCAGACAGAAGAAACCAACTGCTCTTTCCTAACAGAGTATCTACTACCATGCTTCCGCTCCATGGTCACAAGGTTCCTTTTGCCTACAATGCCATGCCTCCTGCTCTACACAGCGCACCTGTTCATATCTCAAGACCCACCCTGAATGCCACATTCTCTCTGAGGCCTACCCTTTTCCTCCATTCTTTTTTTTTTTTTTTTTTTAAGATTCCTTGATTCATTTATCTGAAATGCAGAGCAACAGAGAGAGACAGACAGAAAGACGAAGAGATGTTCTATCCACTGGTTCACTCCCCAAATGGCTACAACAGGGACATCTAGACCACATCAAAGCCAGGAACTCCATCCTGGTCTCCCACGGGGCTGGCAGGGCCCAACTCCTTGGGCCATCTTCTTCTTCTTCGCTGGGCATATTAGCAGGAAGCTGGGTCAGAAACAGAACAGCCACAAAGGACTCAAACCAGCACTCTGATAGAGGATGCCAGCTCAACCCACTGCGCACAAAGCTGTGCTCTATCCCTCCATTCTTCGGGAACAGTACACCTATCTTCCTCAGGGCTCACCTAACACAGGTGCATCCCCACATCGACCAGGTCAATTTGTCACCATATCTGACCCTGCTCCGTCTTCCCAGCTTGGCATTACGAATGAGTCACTCAAGGACAGGAATGATGCGCATTGCCCGTATGTTGCTATGGCCCAGTACAAACACTCAGTGTATTTTTACTGACTGCAAAAAGGAATCTGAAATCTGACTTGCTGCTACTCACAAATCAAAATGAAGGGGATGGAAAGACCAATATATTACTCTATCCATTTTCCTTCCAGGGAAAAAGCGGAAGTGTTTATGATACAGTACAAAAACAGTGCGTCCCTGCAGGATGACTGCACCCTGCTTATTCAGACAAACAGCAGCCATGTGTGAGGGTGAACTGCCCAAAACATCCAGATCTACCAGATGGGGATGCCCAGCCCGCAATCAAACAAGAATTCCTACCCAAGGCCACGGGGGTATTGCGTTTCACTCTCAGTGTCTCTAATTTCAGGAGTGGCCTGGTGAGAGGAACCTCTTGGCATGGAATTTCATCTCGGTCCGGGCCCTATTATTACCCAAGTAATTACAGCCTGGCCCTTGGGCTGCTCCAGGCATGAAACCAGGCATGAGATGGGAGATTTTTAAATACTCTTAACCATGCTTTTTTTTTTTTTTATAAAAGATGACACAAAAATGAGATCTACCACTAATTATTACAGAGTAATACCAAGTTAACTATGGAATAGTCACAAAATGTGTGTCCTAAACCATGAAGAAAAATGCAACGAATTTCAAATAAGTAAAAATATTAGAGGCCATCTTATCTGAGCATCATGCAATGTTGTAATTAAAAATACACAGGCAGAGGCCGGCACCGCAACTCACTAGGCTAACCCTCCGCCTGCAGCGCCGGCACCCCAAGTTCTAGTCCCGGTTGGGGCGCCAGATTCTGTCCCGGTTGCTCCTCTTCCAGTCCAGCTGTCTGCTGTGGCCCGGAAGTGCAGTGGAGAATGGCCCAAGTCCTTGGGCCCTGCACCCGCAAGGGAGACCAGGAGGAAGGACATGGTTCCTGGCTTCAGATCGGCGCAGAGCAACGGCCGCAACACGCCGGCTATAGCAGCCACTTTGGGGGTGAACCAACAAAAAAGGAAGACCTTTCTCTCTGTCTCTCTGTCTCTCTCACTGTCTAACTCTGCCTGTCAAAAAAATAAATAAATAAATAAAAAATACACAGGCAGGGCCAGCGCTGTGGCGCAGTGGGTTACTGCCCTAGCCTGGAGCACCGGCATCCCATATGGACGCCAGTTCGAGATCCGGCTGCTCCACTTCCGATCCAGCTCTCTGCTGTGGCCTGGGAAAGCAATGGAAGATGGCCCAAGTGCACCCATGTGGAAGACTCGGAGGAGGCTCCTGGCTCCTGGCTTCAGATCAGCGTAGCTTCAGATCCACGTGGGTGCAGGGGCCCAAGCACTTGGGCCATCTTCCACCACTGTTCCAGGCCATCAGCAGAGAGCTATATCAGAAGAGCAGCAGCTGGGACATGAACTGGTGTCCATATGGGATGCTGGGGCCGCAGGCAGGGGGCAGCCAACTACACCACGGCACCGGCCCCTGAAATATTTTTTAAATGATGGATCCTATGTCAGGTCCAAAAACACAGTTGTGGTCAAGTACACAATGAAGACCATTCTCCCCAAAGTAACTTGCAGACAGAACACAATCTTAATTAAAAAAAAAAAAAAGCCTTTAGTAGAGTTTCAGTTTGGGATGAGGAAATGGCTGCACAACAACACAGGATGGTGATGACAGCTGTACAACAATGTGAATATAAAAGATGTCCCCCAGTCATAATTTGAAAATGTCATCTATTTTACTATAATAATATATAGCTATAAAATTATATTTTTAACTTTTCAAAAAGATTTACTTATTTATTTGAAACACAGAGTTACAGAGAAAGGGAGAGAGAAAGAGAAAGGGATCATCCATCCACTGGTTCACTCCCCAAATGGCCATAATGGCCAGAGCTGGACCAGGCCAAAGCCAGCAGCCTGAAACCCAATCCGGGTCTCCCAGCTGGGTGTGGCAGGGGCCCAAATACTTGGGTCATCATCCACAGCCTCCCAGGCACATTAGCAGGGATCTGGATCAGAAATGGAGCAGCCAGAATTTGAACCTAATACTCATATGGGATTCTGGCAATAGCAGGCAACAGCTTAACCCACTGACTGTGCCAAAACACTAGCTGCCACATACATATATTTTTATAGATTTATTTATTTGAAAGTCTGGGTTACGGGGCAGGGGAGAGAGGGAGAGAGGGAGAGAGAGAGAAAGATCTTCCATCCACTGGTTCATTCCTCAAATGGCCACAACAGCCAGGGCTGGGCCAGGACAAAGCTGGGAGCCAAGAGCTTCATCCAGGTCCCCAACATGGGTACAGGGGCCCAAGCACTCGGACCACCTTCTGCTGCTTTCCTAGGCCATTAGTAGGCTTCTGGATCAGAAGTAGAGCAGCCAGGACTGGAACTGGTGTTCATACGGGATTTGATGTGGCAGGTAGCTGCTTTGCCCACTATGCCACAATGCCGGCCCCTGGCCCCTATATTTTTAAACTTTTTATATCATCTTTACAGAGATATAGTAAACACACAATAAAATGCCTCCAAAAGTGTACAGTTTGGTGACCTTAATTTTTTTTTATTTGAAAGGCAGAGTTATAGAGATGGAAGGAGAAAGAGAGAGAGAGAGAGAGAGAGAGAATCTTTCATCCATTAGTTCATTCCCCAAATGGCCACAACAGCCATGGTTGGGCTAGGCCAAAGTCAGAAGCCTGGAGCTTTTTCCAGGTCTCCCACGTGGGTGCAGGGGCCCAAAGACTTGAGCCATCTTCCATACTCTCTTAGGCACATTAGCACGCCATCTTCCATACTCTCTTAGGCACATTAGCAGGGAGCTGGATCAGAAGTGGAGCAGCCAGTTATCAAACCAGCGCCTATAGGGGATGCTGGGGTCATGGGTGGCAGCTTAACCAGCTACACCACAACACTTGGTAACATTTGTGAAATGTATATAGACAACTACACAATAACTTCCTCAATCAAGATACAGAATATATGGATACACAATTTATCTACCGGGTGGGTAAACATTTAGGTTGAATAAACATTTCGGTTGTTTTCATTTGAGAACTATTATAACTAAAGTTATGATGAAAAAGAATGAGTAACAGAACTCCAGTCTTTACAGAGGAAAGATTTTTGTTTCAGGTCCCCCAATTTCTCACAATGCCACTGTTCAATGGCAGATAACAGGTACGATAAAAGCCTCAGAAAACAAATAGCTAGACTAACTCAAGGAAGGAAGGTTCTAGGAGTCTTTCACAAAAAACAGGTCCACGGTAAGATACTCCCCCAGAGAACAGACAGCACAAACACACTGTTCAAAAGCTAAAGAAGAGGGACCAGCATTGTGATGTAGTGGGTTAAGCAGTCTCCTGTAGTGCCAGCATCCCAAATGGGCACCAGTTTGAGACCTGGCTGCTCCACTTCTGACCCAGCTCCCTGCGAATGCACCTGGGAAAGCAGCAGAAGACAACCCAAGTGCTTGGGCCCTGCATTCATGTGGGAGACCTGGAAGAAGCTCCTGGCTTTGGCCTGGCCCAGCCCTGGCCATTGCAATCAACTGGGGTGTGAACCAACAGATGGAAGATCTTTATCTCTTTGTCTCTCCCTCTCTCTGTGTAACTCTTTCAAACAAATAAATGAATAAATCTCTAAAAAACAAAAAGCTAAAGAACACAGACACAGAAATCACATATAAATATGTGTGCAGTATAATAATATACATAAACTCTATACTATCAATATCAAATAGGAACATTTTTAATTCTACATGGAATTCTTGTCTTTACAAAGATACAGC